TTTTCCTTTTTCCATTAGCGCCGATTTACTGGGAATGGCCCTACAGAATGTACATGTAGGCTCTGACAGCTCCAATGTGTCCCTTCTACTGTACTTGTCCTAAAGTAGACATTCCAGTTCCAGCAGATTAAGTGCTTTGGGATTGCATCCCAAATGCAACATTGGCTTGACGATCAATTTAATGCTCCCTCATGTGCTTGCAATAAGCAGGGTGAAAGGCCCTGGGTCTAGTGGCATATTGGCAAAACATCTTGCACAACGTGCTACAGCCTACAGGTGAATGTACACACTAGAGTGTGGTCAGGGGGCTGAGGGGTTCACTTCAGAGATTACTTGAATATGATACTCAGTAAGGCACCATTAGTGACTGAGAGAGATGATGTGCCCGCCAGCTGTAGGTGGCTTAAATTCATGCTACCAGTATAGCAGAAAGGCACATGCATGGAAACTTAAAAACAAAAATAAAACGGGGAAAAGATGTAACAAAATAAATAGGCCTAAATAAAAAATGAAATAAACCTTAAAAATTATGATACATAGAAATTTGTCTTTTTTAGCTATTGCAAGTTGGCAAAGAAACTACATGTAGAGAAAATTATTTTGAATACCTAAGAGAGTACCGTATCTGTTGCTTTTGTTTGGGTCAGTTTTGAAGAAATGAAATCCCTTTCACTCTGAATAATGTTGCGAGAAACCAACTAAGATGAGTGTGCATACGGTAGGATTTCTTTTGACTTTTGGTAGAAGGCGGAGCAAAAGAAAGAACTGTTTTGGGGAGTTCAATTTCTCTACAAGACCCATCTATCAAGTCTGTACAGTACAGATATTTACTGTACATGTATCGGGTTCAGGGCGAGCAAATGATTCCACACAACATGATCAGTTGTCAGTAGTTTCCTTCTTCCCAGGAATAAACGTATCAGCCTTGACGTGGGCACACTGCCCATCACCCACTGTGCCTGATGGAGGCAATCTACATGTAGTCAAATTAATCCTGCTCATCAAATCCTTTTTAACACTTCTTACAAAGACACTGCTTAGCCTTCCAACCAGTAGTGCACTAAGAAACAACTGGACAGGTGTTGAAGCAGTAGTGCATTACTGTATGCAAACTTCACAATGTAGGCACGTAGATTTGGGGTGAATTCGGTAAATGCAGCCTACATGTACGTGTACATTGCATATTTCATGGTACACTACAAATAACGGTTTCTGCACAGTTTGTCCCTTCTTGCAGAACAATGCTAATACGTTGCAAATGTGTATGTACATGTACATGTATTTAGTCAAACACACTGCATCATCCAGTATGTGCCATGTGTCTATTCATGCATGTGAGTGGTCAAAGTGGTCTTACTTGAACTGACGCTGAACAGTAGTTAAGTGTATCTTGACTACTTTGGAATAGGAAATTCAGAACTTCTGTGTTCTTCATGCATACACCTGAAATATACATGTAGGCGATCCATTTTCTCCAAAACAGCCCCAGAGAACGTTTTGTCAATGAGCACTCTCAGTGAAGAAGTGTGATGCTAAACATCAGTTGTTGAGGTGCTTGTGATTAATACAAACATCCTATTGGGCAAAAGCACCTGTCACAGGTGTTTCTATTGATCTCTCCATATCTTGTTTTGGAAATTCTAGAAGGGGAATAACCTCAAGGTAATTAAGTAACATGTGCTAGTAAGTCCTAGATAAGCCCTGTAGTCAGTTACATGTAAAATCCAATCTGAGTATTTCCCACCCTAACAGAGCCAAAGGTTATGGACCACTTCAGAAGTGTACATGTACTTTAATTGTCAATAAATGTTTTTACATGAGGGTAATGGGAATTGCATGGCTGCGACATGTGTCAACACAGTTAACAAGGTTGTCATTTGTGCATGAATGCCACCAATACATGTAGGTTCATGGGGATGCAGCATTATTGCATCAAAGTTCTGCATTTGGTGTGCACATGGTTGTCCTAGACGTACATGTACCTGATACACTTCATGGTTTAATGCAATTAATACAAATAACAAACACCAAACAAGACAAGTTGGGTAAATTTAGAAAGCATACGATACCAGAACATGAAAAAGTAAACAGTAACTCTAAATCATACACAGGTACAGAACATGAGGAATTCCAGTATCAAAATGAAACGTTCTGTTCTTAATGGCCTTCATATTCTAAAGGGACCTGTATCTGTTCAGGGTATACATGACTACATTTTTCTTACTCAGTAAGCACATTTGCCAGGGATGCTGTGACAACTGCCACCGAGCCCTAAGCATGACCTGATCATAGCAATGGAACTTACTAGGTAATGGACAAGGTTTTCTTTTATTCATAAGGAAAGACACAGGCTCTCAGGGGCTACGGTAGTTGAGAGGAATAGTCTGACAGGATCAGCCAGGTTTTTTGATGCAGTGAATAGGGTTTCTAGTTGAGTGTTTGGCATTCTGTCTAGGGCCGCATCACCCTCGGGCTCTGTACCTGAAAACAGGACAGCTACTCTAAAGTGGCGGGTTGCTCAAGTGTTTTTCGGTTTGAACTGAGAATCACAACTTGTGCAGGCATGAGGTGCAGGCTGGAACATTTGTGAATCTGAACTGTGTAGGCCACATGTACAACGTAAATCTTTCCATGACATTTGAATATTTATCTTTCCATGACATTTGAATTCTCAAATTAGAGAACATGACAGTTGATGAAGCACTTAGCACAACAAAATCTGGATGCATACGGAACATGTAACATTGCAATGGAGTTACAAGATAACCAGCACAGTAAGTTGAAAACCTTAGACTGGTGTTCAAAGATCATGTGTGTAAAATGCTTGTACATGTACATCGACATGTACACTATACACAGGGAGGTTGAAAATACATGTACATGTATGCTGTTAATACCGTACCAACAGTGCATTTCTTTTGCCAACTTTCCGGTTTACACAAATAACAGTACATGTAACTGTACCCCCCTCCTCAGTTTTACGCACTAATACTGGTGAACTCCCAACCTGTGCCACTCTTTATCAATCTTAAAATGTATGAACATTACACAGTACAATTGACCTAAAACACAATGACATTATGCAATGTTTACAGTGGTGCATTGTGGGTGAAAGGTGGGGACCCAAGTACTCAGGCTACTGCTAGAATATCATGTGCATGGAAAACTGTCGAAAGGATCCTGAGATGGAGACGGCCTACAGATTTTCCAAAATGGTTTGTGTTAACTTGGGTGTGCCATTGTGTGTATCAAGCACACAACGAATGCCAGAGCTGCATTTTTTCAAGCTTCCACGAGACCGCAACTTTGCTCCATGTGAAGTTACGTGAGGGCTCGTATGACTGATGGCTTTATCTGCCATCTTTGATTTCTTTCCCCACTTTTCATGCCCAATGCACTGCAGTAAACACCAAAGATCATACAGCGCCGAAGGCACAAGATGGATAACTCTGCCCAAAAGATGTAATTACCATGGGCGCCATTTGAGCAAGAGATACGCCTGCGCAGTTTACGGTAATGCTTGGGCGCAGGCTCACCAGGTGCACGTGCCTACCGCGGCACCTGCACCTGTGCATTAATGTGCATTGCGCAGGCGTATCGCTTGCTCAAATGGAGCCTATGTGATTACAACGTTTTACGTGTATTTGCGGTGAAGTTTGCCATCTTGCGCTGCTTCGCGGCACTATACGATCTTTGGTAAACACTGTGTTATGTCATTATGTTTTAGGTCTCTTATTGTTTGTACTGTTTTTCTACAGCACATTTCAATTCAAGTCTCAGTGCACCGACATCATCCCAGCACATTCCTGAAACCTTCTCAGCTCCTAAGGAATACAACTACCAGCCCATTATGCTTCAAGCCATTTCAGAATTCACTGATCAACCACCGTAAACATCTCTGCTCCCACAGGTATCTATGTCCTCGTTGAGAGGGGTGATGAGAGGGCAGTGGGAGTAAAGTGCCTTGCCCACCACAGTTGTGACATGCCGTTTTTCTTTCTCCATGTTACATGTGACCATCTGCTGGACTTGAATCCCCAACCCTCCATGTACAAGTATGTTCGGAGTTGAAAATCCTAACCAGCACTAGGTCATTACCCCATAACTCATTAACTGTGGGCTTTGTCATCCACCGCACACCCAGCACGACGAACCCCACAGTTTTGGGGGTACTGGTCCACATGTCAAGGTGGTCCCACTTTTAAAGTCCTACTTAAAGTACCATTTTTAAACATCTTACCAGTGGTCAATTAAATATGAAATATTCTCAGAACCAGTGTATTTTGTGACACACTTTTCCCTTCCATCCTTTGAATGACTACGGTAGATATACTGTACTGTACTTGAAGGCACATACAATGTACCAGGTAGGTCGGTGGGGAAGGGATACGTCATGTACCGGTATATGTAACCATGCACAGGCAATGTCTGTGCATGCTGTCTGTTGGTGATTGTCACAATCCCCATGGCAGAGCTACAAGAGGATTCAGTCACTTCAAAAGTGAAAATTCCTACCGGTACATCTTGCATGGGCATAATGGGGCAGGCTGGAGTAGGGGAACTCGAAAACTAAATAAAGTTGCCAATGTTCTGAGTTTGGAAAGTAACAATTCTTTGTCTTTAAATTATGTACTCATGCCAAACTCTATAAGTATTCATGGAGATTGTATTGTTACATCACAGATTTAAGCAACTTTGTCAACCAGCGGTAATGCACATAGGCCCTATGTGACTGACCTATTTACATATTTCATGAGTAGTATGGCATTTGGGTTTGTATTTCACATTACAACAAATGCAAAGAAATCTGGCTTTACAGAATAGCAAAAGTATTAACTCGGTGCAAATATTTTTCGTTGTTTTTATTCCAACCTGTCCCACATAGTTTGCTCTCCCACATGCATTCAACATTAATCGCGTAGCCATGAAAAACCATGTCCATATTAGCCTAGGTAAAAAAAAATCGGATTTTTATGAAAATAAATTATGCCTAGGCCTACCTCCTTCCTCCTCGTCAATTTTCAGCGCTTTGGAAAGATATTCAAAGGCCTTCTTGTGATGCTGTTTTTGTTTCGCTAACAAATCAGCTTCTTGACAAGCTGTGTCATTCATCATTCCAGATGGGCTAGAATGACCAGTTTTACCGTCGGTGTTTGAGGCAATAGTTACCCCCGTCAACTGCGTCCCATTCACCGTCGTCTCCACGGAAGCGCTCGCTGCTGAACGGCCCACCGCGTACTTGTGTTTTATGTCTGTTACTCGCCAAAATGCGTGCGAGAGAAGCACCCAAACCTGGAAGACGATGAATCGAAGCAGGCCAAAGATGAAGAGGAGCGGGTAGCTGGCAAAACGGAGGTTCCTCCGATGGGGGGATTCTCGTTGTTCTGGTTTTTTTGTTCGCTTGAGACCGTTGGGACTACGGGCTCGTTCTCCACCAGGCTTGTTACGGGGCATCGGGGGTCGCGTATCCGCGGTTGATCCCCGCGATGTTTTGAGCGATTACCGCATGAACATGTGACGCTGACCATGTCCACACAAGACTAGTAATGCATGCAATCGAGTCAGGACATGTTTATGGTTCGCGTACGTACGTACGTGCGTACAAAGTACATGCGATTTTGTACTGTGTACGTAATGTCACCAGAGGGCACTATACACTATATGTAATTTATGAAGAACGGGTGAAGTACTGGGGCCGGGGGGGGGCTGTCTCGCAACTGCTCGATCCTTGCCGCACCTCAAAAGATTAATTATCCTGAAGTAACCCTTGGAACGAATGCAGTTATTTATTTACTTTTCACAAAGGTTTTCCTGAGTTAGGGACGTCATAAGCAGTAAGGATCCCAACTTTACAATGCTTGGGCCTGGGGGAAAAGCTAAAAGTCAGCAATAGGCCTAAATTATGAAAACCCAAAGTCCCGATTCCGCCGTTCCGCATTGCAGGATGATCAGCTTTAGGGAGGGGGTAAGAAGCTTTAGGAGTGGAGCACTATCTTCAAGTCAGCGATATGCAGAGTACTGTCCTGCTGACTACCACTAAGGTTCTTTATAATCAAAGGTTACTAGTCCAAACTCCATAAGGAAAACAAAGAATTTACGAATAATACGCACAACTTTATTAGAACTCCAACTTGTCTATTCTATTGAAAACTAGAAAAGGCAAAATGATTTTCAAGAGTTCGTCTCTCAAAGTTCATAGGAACAAAGAAAATTATCTTAAAGTCTCCTCTCAAGACCCAAACATGGAAAAAATCTATGCAAATTAATCTCTGACAATCGTCTAACAAGTTTCTTTACAGCTGCTTCACAAAGTCAGTGCAAACAGCTCAACTGCATTTCCCGCCCATTAAATTTCCACAGCAATAGCAACAATGATTGACTTAGCACCATTCCATTTTTTTAGGAGAACACAATGAATTCCAATTTTGAACATCTAAACTTCTATAGTTGTAATAAAGCATCCTCTGGAATGTATGTTTATTTTCCCTAAAATTTGCATAATGATGACACAATAATACAATATGACCACAGCATTTGCAGAAGCATTTCTGACATTATCATCCAAGCTATGCATGAATTGTGTGTATATTACGCCACTACAAATATCACTATACAAACAATATCAAGTATATTAAGTCAGTACGGTAAATGGCTTTCACAGATAATTATGTTAAAATATACTAATGATTTCAGAACTAATAAAATAATTCTTTATCCGTTACAGACATTGAGGGCTTAAAGTTGAATGTTTTATTTGGAACTGTTAACAGTGTGGTCTCTTGTAGCACAACAAATTATTAAATAACTGCTGTCAGGAAGTTCAACCACACATGTTTACATAAACATTTTAAACTGAACTTGATGAAATATTTTCTTAGTGTCTGTAGACAAAGAATTGAAACCAAATGTCTGTTAGTTAAAACTCTTTATACAGATTGAACATTAAATTAGACTGCACTGAAAGAAAAAAGTTTGACTTTATACACATGGACAGTTCAGCTTTCCTGTAGTTTACATTCAGTGTATTCAAATCTCATAGGTAAGTGGTAAAACAGTCAAAAAGGCGTTGAAAATAAACAGCAAAGCTAATATAAATGTTTGACAAACTGAGCTTTGACCATTCCAGTTACCTGTCAGAGAAAATAAAAATCTTTGAACAATCGCAAAGATATATTTCATTCACAAGGGAATTTCAATCCTTGATCCATGAAGGTATTCAAAGCTGAAATGCATGGTTCATTATAAATGTAACTTACCAAAAAGTAAATGTACAATTCAAACGTCCAATCACAGTCTTTCTTTAACTATAGCAAAGGAGCTCAGTAGCAGATTCCTCTAGAACCACTGCCGAAAATATTCACTGTGTTACAATGTTGTTCCTCTTCATGTCACACGGTCATGTTCACTTCAGTAATCACAATTTGAATTGTGTTTGAAATGATGATCAGAAACAAATTGATGATCAGAAACAAATTTAAAACCACCAATTGCTGGTAGATGTAACACTCTACATACTCTCTCTTCAAGGAGTTTATTAACTTGTTGCTTCAAGTCAAGTACCTCACTGCAAAGAGTACCAAACGAAAGGTAAACATTATCTTCTGTATATACATTTTTGAGTAGGGTACAAAATAATCATTTGCATTTTATGCTTCCAACAAAACATTCACAGAAATAAAAATGATTACAGTCTTAGAAAAGATGTTGCTGATTTTCTGTACAAAGCCACTGATAAACTGTAGGGATATTACTGTTTTCTTTGTAGTTCACACTCTGTGCTATCTGCAGAAATGTGCCACTGTACCAATTACATTATCACATGCCAATGAATGCATATTTCCTTCTCCCCATATCTGAGTAAAATCATTATCACTGAGATAACCGAACAGCAATTTAATGATGCAATTTACAGAGTCAGTCAAAATGTAACAATTAATAATGAGAGGGCCTTCAAGTGTATTCACCTCACACTACAGGCTTTTTTCAAGTTAATGTTGATTTATGTGCCATAAGAATAAACTTGGCATCCAGTGGAAGGGACTGTACATGCTGAAAAGCAAATGAGTCCATCTTTCACCAGGCTGGTCATTTGTTTGGATAAAAAAGAGAGACTGAGAAAAGGGTATATTTTGGCAGAACTTTATTTCTACAAGTATGGAGCTGGGTCTAGGAAAATGCTGTTTATGAATGACATTCAAGCCACTCACATAAGTAAAGAAAGAATTGATAATAATAAATCTCCTAAATTGGGAAAAATTCAAGTACATACAAAGTACTATTCACCAAGCCAAAGGGCATATAAAATGTCAATCAATAACAACTGCACCATGGTCAAAGAAATGTTACTACACAAGACGAACCACATGATACTCGGACTGATACTAGCATTACAACTATGCTTGCTGATTTGCCGCTCAAAAATGTGCAAAAAAACCACAAAACTATAGCCACAGAGAATTCTGGAAATTTTAAACTGGAAATTGTTTATACATATAACAGGAAATACACTGTTTGGCAATTGCTTGGACTTCATATATTGAAGGCTCTCCATTCTCATGGCAAACCTGGAAGAAGAATCGTGTAAAATTCCTTCAAATAACTTTTGTGTATGACTATGACGACAGAATGCAACAGATTCTTCTGCCTTCTGTTTGACTGTCAGACTCTCCTTAGAATTAGAGATGCAAGTTTCTTTTCACAGCATCTTTCAAGAATTCCATGTTGCTGTTTTCGTCAGCGAGCCTTTGGGTAGGCGCTTTCCACGGTGTGTTGTCTGATCTCTCAAGACAGCTGTCTGGTGTACCCATTGAATTTCTGGGTGAAGACAGAAAATCGTTTTGTGGACTGCTATGAACTGTTTCAGGATGAGGCGTTAATTCTTGACGTGTGCTGTGATGTTGAGCATATGAACTGGACAGCCCCTGTCCAGTCATGTCTGTATCACTGCCGGCCAGTTGGATCATGTTCTGATTGGAGCTGCCTGAAACCATTGCACTGCTTGATGAGGAACTGCTCTCAATGGACTTTTGATCAGGAAATGTAGAAGGAGGCTGTGTGAAAAACTCCCGATTGCCAGTTAAGGCAGGTTTAGTTTCATCTGGACTAGGGGTGTTGCTCAGGGCCATGGGTTCTTCACTGGTTGGCTGCATTGAACGGGTACTTCTATTACACATTTGCACTTCATAGTCTTCTATCACTTTGGCAGCATCAAGCCTTCTCATTTCTGTCAATTTTTCTTTAAGATCGGCAAGTGACTGGATCTTTCGTTCATGCTGGATAACACTCAAAACCTGACTTGTGGGAGAACGCTTGCTCTCCCACAATTTAATATAATTGTTATTAATTCCAAATAGAGAGGCTAATAATTTCCAGTTATTTCCTATTCCTGCCGGACCCTCAGGATCTAGGAGTACACAAAGATCCCTTTCCACTTCAAATGGAATGAGTGGCTTGCTCAGAGTCTCAGAACAAATAGATGTAAGGGAGAAAGCACCGAACTCTTCAGCAGATTTCAGGCCCAACCCAGATGACTGTGTCTGCAATGAGCTACCACAAAGAGGCACACCAAAACCACTCCCTTCATAAGATAAATCCCTTCTATACATCTGGCTTTCACGGTATGATATATGCGTTGTTCCACAAGGCCAAGTAGGTGCATCAAATGATGCCTTATCATCACATCTGGCAGACCCTCTGGCTTCTGGACAACTCGCCTCTGACGATATCTGAAATGAAAACCACAGACCACAAGGATATGAAAACAAAGTTTCTCATGGTTCAATACAAATTGAAACAGTATGAGAACTAGATTTAAGAAGAACTTTTTGTATAAAACAAAATTTAGGCAAAAGAAATGAAGTCAGTGTCGGGCAAGAACAACAATGTACATGTAGTTCTCACTTTCTGAAGAAAAAAAAGAATATTTGGGAGTGTAAGTATGAGAAAAGACTGGGAACACGGTGCATTCTCTCACCTAAAGGGGTTAAGATAATGATTTTTCTGGGCAGACAAAACACATGTGCATTCTGCATTAAATTTTGATTCATAAAACAAAGAAGAAAATAAAGGTTTACCTTGACATGGTTGGATATTTCTATCTGTGCTATATCGTCATTGTCCTTTTGTTTGGCCTCAATGTCACACCTAAACTGTGTTGCTTTATTGGTGGAGTTACTGAAGGTAAACTTACATCGATTCCAGGGCTTCGTATTCCACATATAACTGAAGGAAAATTCCACCTGTAAAGGTAGACATGATCAAAAAAGGGCACATTTTATGACTTAACAAATAAAACATCAATACCTGAATGAAAGACTAGCACTGTTTGAAATGACACTCTGATGAGTCATTAAGATGAAATCAAAAGCAGCACATTTTTAGAAAGTGTGAACTTGCCCATAACTTTACAAGGGCTGCATCTGACATTTTCCTCATAACTCTCCAACACCACTTAGTATAAAGTGTTTATACGATTAGATCCACGAAAGGCAAAACCTAAGAACTCCACTCCCACATTTTGGGAATTCAAAAATACCTGTGTACTTTTTCTTTGTTTTGTTTTTTTCAATCTAAGCTGTACCTTGCCAAAATGGACAACAGACAAAGTCTGCTTAATTCTGAATTAGCAATTTAAAAGGCTGAGACATGTATATCCCCAGAGAGCAGTTCATCCCCATGGACACTTGCCAAAAGGTCAAAATGGATTTGTGAGCTTTTGTATGAAATTTAGGTGAGTGCTGAGAAACATCTTCCTTAATTAGTGTTGGGGCGAGTCAGTGATTCTTCCAGAAACCAGACGAATACATAAATACCTTCAAGCAGAATATTTTAATTTGAAGCCACCTGAAAAGAGGCATTTGATACCAAATTGTTGATTTTATAGTTCAACAACTTACCCGTTGTCTGGCTGACGTAAGTAACCATGATGCAGTGTGAAATTTCACTTCAATAATCATGCTTCCTCGATGTAACTTATGAAATTGGTATTTTACTGGTCCATCCAGCTGGTTTCCACCAAGGTTTTGCTCCTCTTGATGTATTCTCTGCATTAAAAAAAAGAAATACACAAAACTCTCCTCCTTTTTCTTTTCTCCTTTTTTCCTCCCTCTGAATAAGTATGAACAACTTGAACATCTGCATTGTGATTCAGAACACTGTACTTTTAAGGTCCTATTTGGTCAGCTGCATAACGAGGGATTAGGTGGGCTCTGACATTTTGCCTGAAAGTTCAGGATTTGGGATAAGGTGTACATGTATATACTGACCACATCACCAATGTTATCCACAAATTTGAAAAAAAAAATTGAAATCAGATCACTGCCGACTTGCATTTTAGAATTTTAGAAAATCAGCTGGTTGCACATGATCAAATTCGATTATAAAAGATCTAAGACAGCAAAATGTTATGAGCTACTTACTTCTCTGATGATCTCATTATCTTCATACAGGTAGACACGTATCTGTTGATCTTCATCAAAACTTTTAAGTTTGGGCCCATAGCCAACAATCATAATGTTTTTGGCAAGGGATTCTTCTCCACTGCCATCAATGGTTACAGTAAACTCACAGAAATGACTGACTGAGAGAGTAAAGTATCGGTCGTGGTATTCCACAGCCATGTTTGAATCTTCAGGCTTTGATATTCTTTCCCAGTGAGGTAGCTCACCCTGATCTATTGGAGAAAAAATAATTTATTCTTAGATATTTCAAAATTACACATATGATAGACATGTGCCAAGAACATTTCTCAATACAAAATGAAAAAGATTATTAGTGCCAAATATAAGAGGTGTTCTTGAAAATGATGCAACATATCTGTAATGGCCAGGTCTATGAGGTATGTATGTAGTATAGCATATTTTGTCAATGTGACTTCTTTCGTCATTTGACTGCCAGTAATTAATCAAATCAATGTGAAATTAGAACATGAAACACAGGATATAAAAATCCATCACGTTTTTCAGATATGGCAAAGCTGTAAGCAAAATACCATTTAAAGGCAATGAATAACTTCTTTTTAGACTCTGCATCATGCATACATGTATTCATGACACACAAAGCCACAAGAAAGCATTGTTTCATGAATTGCTTAATTTATTCAGCTGTTTGCTTGCTGTTTTCTGTGTCTGTTTTTAATCATTTGTTGATTCCAAGACTCTTTTTAAATCTTACCTTCTCCAGTCTCGCTGTAATGGACAGTCATTTTACATTGTTTGGGGTCTGGTACCACGGCACAGTGAGGAAGCTTAAGAAGCACTGGCTTTTCGAAGCGAAGACCATTTGGTCCACACTGCACTATTGGGGCCGCATTCATGTCAGTCAGCTTTAGTGGTGGTATATGCTTATCATTCCAGACTACACTCAAAGTTATCTCTTCCACCTGTCCATCTCTCAAGGCTCCTGGGGGAATTTCCAAGCAGACTTCCCCATCAAAAAGTTCCAGAATTCCCCCTGTGTGATCAACGCATTTCATGACCCTAGGAGGGCGCAGGTGACTTCTGAAGCTGTCATCTTGTTTATCATTCTGGTAATGATCCCAATCTTGCCCATTAGACTCCTCCTTCCCATCTTCTCCACTCCTCCCATCCCCCTCATCACCCATCTCTGACTCCTCAGGTTCCTGAGGAGGAGAAGACCCATGACCATCTGGTGTATCCCCCTCCTGAGAGCTAGTCGGTGTTGCTGCTGCAGTTTCCCCTTGACTTGTAACAACAGAATTGGCTCGTACGGAATTCAAGCTGTCGTCACTTTTCAATGAAGCATCTGAGAATGCCGACTCCCGACTGCTACTTGAGTATGTTCGTTCTGCACGTGTCAACGAACTGACAGCAGGATGTTTAATCTCATGAGGACAGACAAGGCCACTATCTGGGGTAAGAGAGAGGGAGTAGCTTTCAGGATCAAAGTCAAAATTTGCATTCTGATTGGACAACTCATGAGTTGGGCTTGAAGGGTCAACCTCGAAGGATGGAACCATCTTTGATGGCTGTTGACTGAAACACTGTAACTTCTTTACCACAGCCTGAATAGTTAGTGCTTTAGTCATTTTGTCATCCTGGAAAAATTCTAAGCATGAAGAAATATCTTCCATAACACCACAATATTTCAGCAAATTCAGTCCAAGAACACCAAATGAGTGAACATCTTGCATTTTAGCTGAACCTACTTCCATCTGTGTTCCATCCATCATCAAGTTGGATGGAATGTTCAGTATGAGATCATTTCCCCCTGATATCAGGCAGTTCTCTAGTCTAATCTCCTGGTGAGCCAGCCCACTATCGTGAAGCTGTTGTAAAGCTTTAGAAATCTGCTCAATCCACTTCAATGCACTCCCCTTAAGAATAGCAGGATCTGTTCTAGATATATATCCCACCAGGCAACCCTCTTCTGGAAGTTCAAGAATAACACTGTGTACAGCTTTCAACTTCACCAGTCCAATGATGTTAATCAAATTCTTCTGCTTCAAACGGTGCCAGTCAAAATATGCCTCCTCCTGGAACTGACTCTCCTCGATATCCTTGACTGCAACTAAGCCTTCTGGGTTCATGTTAATGGGAAACTTTGTCTTGTCTGCTAATGCAATGTATAAGGAACTTCCAGTTAGGTCAGGTACATTGGCTGCTCCCGGTGGTCGTAGCACAATCTCTTGCACTTTAGGGGTAGTCTCAATGAGAAATACACACTGAAATCGACCAAACAAACAGTTGGTTGTGGAATTGATAAAGGCATCAACAACTTGATTATCTGTTGGTGGAGATTCTTCTTGATTATCTTTGATGTCTTTGTCCGAGCTAAAACTACAGTTGCCAACCGATTTTTCAAGGCTTTCACTGTGTGAGCAACTTTCTCCTTCACATCGTGATTGTGAGTCAAGGTTAACCTCTGACAGGACCCTGGTAAGCTTCTCAAAAGCACTACTGTTCCCACGAGATGAAGTATGGACACCCACTTGATTCCGTACAGAACTGGCTGAATGGTTTGATTTTGAAGACAGCAAGCTACCAAGAACTCCCTTTGGGGTGAAATCATGTTGAGACAAGCCAGCTCCTGTTTGTACAAGTCTTTCAGTGCCATTTGTAAGCGAAGTATTGGCTGGTGACTCAGACTCCATCATTAAAGATCTGTACCTCTCCAGACGATTGTAATCAACCCTGTCATCAGCTATTCCAATTTCTTCTTCAGAATCGTATCCTTCCAGTCCGAGATCAGTCCGGAGATATCGTTCCTCTGTTTGGCATGCAGCGTCCCCTTTCTCTGGTTTGGCCTTCTTCAATGTCCTTGGTTCTCGTTTGTAGACATATACTGGGTCACACACTGAATTCTCAGTATCCTTTCCATCAACTGCCATTTTCAAAACTGAAATGAAACAAATTTGTAAATGTTGGTTAAATGTACTTGCACTAGAAATTTAGAAAACAAAAACTTGATCATAATTGAGCAAGGATGTGGCTGCAGAAGGCTGTTGGCAGCAAATCATGGTTACACACTACTAATGTTATAAGTCAATGGCATGACTCTATCAGGTTCGCAAGTGTGACGTCACTTCAGTTTAAACAACGCCCAATGCACGTGTGCACTGCACATAGGGTTACATGCACTGATAGCCGTTTACATGGAATCACAGAACCAGAAGTTAACGCTCAACTTCAGCGATTGTCCAATGAGAGCCTGCAAATCATGGCACATCCGCCTTTGTGACGAAGTCACTTTTGAACCGGATAGCAACGAGCGGTACAAGATCATAATTCTAATACAACGCATCAACAATGAGGATAGGAAGGAGGATGCAATCTTCATTACACCAAAAGTGATGTTCATGATGCCACACATACATCTGATGTACATGTATATGTGCCTTAATAACTGACGTCAAAATGACATGCCCAATGTTTTAAGTTGTACCCTTATTTTCTCCATTTTCTCAGTACAATTTAGTACATTTTGGGAAGTACAATTTTCAAAAAACATAAAATCGTTTTTTTAGTTCTCATCATCAAATAGCTGTGGGGGGTGTGATTAGGGGCGAGTGATTAAAAAGTCCACCCCTATCCCCCTCTGTCAAAAGGGTAAAGAAGAATATAATTTGCCATCCCCTGGGATTTACATCCCCTGATGTAGCCTGTAAAGATTAGATTATCACATATTGATTTCTATGGAAAAAAATCATCTCCAATTCCAACTCTATTTTCAACTGAATGTAGGCTAAAGCCGATTACAGCCACTTTATTGTATAAACACAGGAATAAATGAGTACCAGAATTACCCATTAAGGCAATTTAGGAAGCCTTCATGTGCTCTGGAGTTATTTGCAACTATGCTGTTTGTGTTTATTCCGTCACCTGATTCCACACTGCTATTGAAATGAACCCATGGGATGATTTATGATAAACTTACTTGGTTTCACATCTGTTGAGACATCAGGACAGGTGAAGTAACGCACATAGATGGGCTCTTTGAGTTTATATTTCTGATCAATCTTAGTCACTCCTGACAATAAAACAAGAAAATGGTCAGAAACCCTCTCTCCATAAACCGCATCCCTTAATGGATAAACCACACCCTCAATGGTTAAACCACACCCTCAATGGTTAAACCATCCCCACAAATGTATAAACCAAATCCTCTACACATAAACCACACCCCTAAATGGATAAACCACAAACTTGATCCTTAATGCACAGGCCACACCCTTACTGCATGAACCACACCATCTAGGCTCAACACACTCTATATATAGATCACACAATCAGAACTGAAGATGCAAAGATGCAAACAAAAAATTTCTGTCAATATCAGTCAGTGAACATTTTAGAAATGGTTGCTGTGGTTCAGTTTTGTTATGCCAAAAAGAAAGTTTCAACATCCTGGGGAGCCAACACAGTCTTACATATCGAAATGTTTTATATTCCTGAGGCACAAAAGACACTGCGACATATTTCTTTCAGTACATATGTCTATTTCTTCCACAAGGATGTCATTAGTTAATTTATCAGACATTTAAACGCAGCATGTTCATTCTTTTCAGACGTAATTTGTTACCTTTGGGTTTAGGTGTATATGTAAACTTGATGGTGTTGCTGACTGAACTGTCCATCAAACGAATCTGAACAGCAACTGTCTTGGGCTCAGTGATTTTCTTGTCCGGGTAGGGTGGTGTTTCAACTACAATGTCAACTGGCTGAGTGACGGAAGACAAAAAACAGATCACACATTGAAATTATCCCGAACTTGGAGAGTCTTATATCATTTAGACTGTATTATCGTCAGTGGCTAATGTGCTTCTTGGACAATTCAATCTTCAATCTTTTGCCAACAGAGTTTCAGATTTCCTCAGGTTTTTTTTCCGTTTACATATGCAAACATTGTTTTAAGTGTTTAATGCAATGGATAGAACATCACCTAGTGATACCAAGTGATACCTCCATAGAGTGTTCAAAGCTACAAATAATTTGCAATTTAAAGATCTTTAATCCTGACTCCATAGGATGTGTGTGATGTAGCTCTGTTTATGTTAATTAACACAGCTATTTATACATTCTTCCTTATATTCTACACTGGTGCATTATAAAAGTTCTGAAATCCTGCACTAAACCACGGCAGATTTTTGTTGGAATTAGCTTTATAATCTGTACTTCATAATCTGTGTCTTAAAATGTTTCAATTATCTTGAATTCACACATAATATTAAATGTATTCCCAGAGTTTCCCCTGGGGTACTGATAAATGTATTCCCAGGGTTTCCCCTGGGGTGGGGTACTGATATGTGTGAGGCATTTCAACAAATTTCATCCAAATTCTAGTGCCTGAAACAAAAGCAAGTGTTTTAAAAAAAGCCTAACAAAATTCTATAGTCTAATAGTACAGTTACTCCAAATTTCTCTTCCAAAATAAATCAATCTTGTATTCTGTGTCCTTCCTTATCATTTTGAAGGATTGATTTAAAACTGATTTATTTCAAAATATCAAAGTTATTTTGCCTTTTCCTTTCATCTTTGTCTATTTTAAGTGTGAGGTGGTAAAATTCAACACAAAAGCCCAAGGTGATCACTAAAATCAGTGAGGTGGGCCGCGTCACAGTTGTATAGGCAGGGAAAACACTGCAAGAGACAGCTTCAAAGTATTCTGTGAATGAGCAGGAGTTAACATTCTAACAATACATATACATGCAGACAAGTTCATCTCATATGGTGCCAATGAAACAGGTGCAATAACTTAATCACTTCCTGCTAGGGCAGCTATCAATGTTGATGATGTTGGGCCGGGATATTTATCATTTTTTCTGTTTTCAAAATTCATTAAAAATTCCTATCTTCATTTATTGGACACTTACAAACACGGAAGGACTGTCTGATGGCCCCTCTAGCCTGACAGACAAAATCTATTGATGCTTGGGTATTTCAGCCAGGCCTGCAGCCTTGTAAAAAGAGCCCAGATTGTGCGGTGTTATATAACTTTCTATTGTTCACGACCTGGCTCAGTGCACTGCTGACCTCTTTTCAATAGGGGCCAGATTAGCATGCAGCGGTGCTGTGTGGCTCATCGATGCGGTGGTAGAGCACTTTTGTCCCCGGTGGTAATCTGCTCGCTCTAAATGCCCCAAAGCAAGGCTGGATTATCTCCACTTTTGAGAGTGAAAAAATGTCGGTAATTCCCAGCAGCCTGGTCTTTTGTTCCAAGTACGGTCTTTTGTTACAAGGCCCTGTTCTCTTTGTCCGAGTTCGCAGACCCCGGCCACGCATATAAAGCGTCCAGATAAAGTGTCCAGATCTGGAATCCCCGGCAGGAAGTGGCCAACCTGCCATTTTGAAAATTTCTGAAATCAACACTATCAGATCTCATCATGAATGAGATTTGAATTATCCAATGAAAACCTTCACTATTAGGAAGTAGAGCATGGGTATTTGTAGGCTGTGGATCACATGACCCCCTTCAATGGGTTTAGCTAGGAGCTGATAACCCGACATAAAATGAGGGCAGAGGACAAGTTACAAGTACCTTTGACTTTTGGCGGGAAATACTGATGACATTGGCAAATGCTTGCCAACTTGATCTCGGTTCAAGGCTCTCACAGTGAAAAAACACAAAGACGTCATCTGAAAGTAAAACCCAGTAATAGTAAAGTTACAATGTGACGAGTGAAATTTAGTGAAATCCAATTCCTGTGGCTCAATTCCTTAATTACATTTAAAAAGATTTTGAATTGAGGGGCATTTTCAATTGGAGGAAAGGTTAAAAGTCACAGGAGTCAGATGAAATAAAATGTGCAAAAGTATATTTTCAAACTAACAAGTTCCGTATTCAGATTACCCAACAAACCTATAACATTTACTCTGTGCTATATCAGACAAGTCTATCACACAATCAGGTGAGGAGCTCTGCAGAAAGAAAAAAGTTATTCTGCTTCCAACTGATAGCAACTGGAAGTGAAGTTTGACTGAAATGTTCTTGCTGATTTTGTTTGTTTTTTTTTAGTTTTCGTATGGAATAAAACTGCTTTCAACTTCGTACCTTGCCCAGCATACATAGGTGAACTGAGTAAAACAAAAAAGCAAAGTACCAGTTTTGAGGTTGGTAACCTGGAGGGTAAGTTCTTCTTGTCCTTGTACTGATCCTTTACACTGACTGATGGACAAGATGCGGGGCTCTCTTTGAAGAGATGGTTCTGAAAGTGAGAAAAAGGAGAACAGCGTACGTACAAGAAACTTGGGTCTAAACCTTTCCCAAGTTGTATGTCAGCTGCACATCTGAAAGACAGATGCATTTTTACATAGAAATGACAGAAACAAGCATTTCATGCATGTACTGCACCATGAACTGCGTCCAATTTTTATTTGAATATACTTTCTCTTTGTTGTTAATGGACCCTCATTGAAATGATCCCCTGCCCTCTTTGACAGAGTACAAAGACTATTTCTGATCATGTTGTCACTACTCCTGAGGTCTGCAGCAGAGCTTTGATTGCTGCTTAACTTTACACATGATCCCTAGCAGTGGACTAATAACACAACCAGAAGAAGCAGCCATTACTGCAAAGCCATTCTGTTCACATGTAGGTGGTAGGTGTGCGTTACATTGCTCCCAGCCCAACAGGGTGTTGTGACTTGCCAAAAGGTGGGCACACACTCGTTAGTTAAAACTCCTGCACGAGTGTGATGGCCCACAGGAATGGCGTCTCCTCATATTCGTCAATGCTTCAAGAGCTAGATACCTATACAGCCTTCCTGTACATGACACAATAGCTCACCTTTGCTGTGTAACGACCTGGTCAGGAGTGACATGTTACCATGGTGTTCTTCCTGACCTTGACATAACACTTGGAAGCAGATTCGGACACAATTCAAATTGTATTCCGTTGTGTCTTTTGACCTAAATTCAATCCCTGTATGGAAGAAGAGGATTGTAGAGAAACTCTGTGAGAGATATTTTCGTTCGAGCAGAAATAATCATCTTTGGGCACAAGTTTAAAAAGGTCAGGTAGTGTTGCAAGCTGCATTTTTCTGAAAGTGGAGTTCCATAATTTGGGACACTGAGGCAGGTTATTTTTCCTCTCATAAAATGGCAAAATATCATCTTTTCCCCAAACATTTATTTTAATATTCTGTAGCAGTCCACACTCTACTTACAGGGAATTTTGGCAAGAGTGAAATGATGTTATGGTACATCAAAAAATCCTTATTGCTTGCGTTTCCGTGCATGATTGCTGGGGATCAATCTTTTTCTATTAATCATTGAAAAACATTCCTTTAAATTCCCTTTCCATCACTGAAATTAATTCCCATAAATCATTCAATATCCCTCCCCTGTGGTTTCTTTAGACTTTTCAGTCATGAGAAAATTACCAGAATACAAAGAGGATGCAAGTCTATTATTAAGGCCACTGTTCAATATGATCTTTATGATAAATACCTGGCAAGTATTCCCTCAGCGTGTTTATTCGCATCTCTAAAGTCTTTTTTATATCTGTCCTGCTGACACTCCTCACATATAATCCTGGAAAACTGAGTTTCAAAAAGAACAAACATAACTGGATTATTGTCTGGTTGCCTCGACATCGGCTATTCTATTGGCCAAGGACTCGTGGGAGATCCGTGCAGCAGAAAGCAGTGCCCCGTCACCTATCAACAGTGTATCATGGTGAGTCCAAGCCAAGCACTCAGCCTAGGCACAAACAGAAACATGGCCTCCACAAGGACAAAGCAACAAACACGGAGTACTGCAGGTGCTTCCTGTGTTTGCTCAACATGCAACTGATGTTCCTGTGCTAAGATTAGCCGGATCAGTTACCTCAAGGCCCATGCACACAGCACCACATACTGGTTGATGTCTGTGGTCGTCTGTCGTCGTCATAGGCCAGTGAGGTTGTCATGTTTTAAAAGTGATGACTTGATGACAAATCTTGAGAAATTATGATATTAAACCCTGTAGAGAAAAATGTTTTTCTCCTCTTTGGGTCTACATCTTGCAAGAGATCAACCTGGATGGCATTTCAAACATTAAACCAACACAAATGTAAACATTGGCAGAAGATATCTAAAAAAAAGTCCAAAGATTTAAAAATGGATTTCTTATGTCTCGCTTCTCTTGGGATGACATGCAACTGGATTAACCGGTTCTAACAGAAGGATTACAAGTGCAAGATGAAGATACTCAAACCATAACATGTCATGAAGGAATAACGAAAGCTAGATAATGATCAGATCTATTCCATTCCAAATACTCATTTTCTGCTAAAATGGTGAATCCAAGACCTTTAGCATTTGCCCACACCTCCTACACTAACAATCATCCAGCTCCCTGAGTAGTTGGTTAACTTTACATCTTACTTGGATGCCAAACTTTACAAGTTGAAGTTATTAGAAATTACCAGAACAAGGGATTTGTAATAACAAATTAACAACACCCACCTGATGATCTGTCCCTCTGCCAAAATGGTCTTGGTACAGACGCCATCTTTACAACCCTCTCCTTCCAAGATATAAGGATGTGGGTGCCTGGAATCATCTGCTACCAGGTACCAGACTATTTGTGCAAGTCCTGTGTAGTCCATTAGCTAGGGAAGGAGCAAAACACTTTTGGTTTGAAAAGGCTACAGGAACATTGTTCTCCATGCTCTTAAATGTACCTAAAATCTGTTGGATAATTAAAAGGCAATGAATTTCCTTTCTTTTACAGTCCAGTTGGCACAAAGACAGCCGGTATTTCCTTGCCATTTTATCGCTGTAACCTGGGTTTGAATCCTACCAAGGTTGGTGTGTGGATTGGGTCTTTAGTCCCTACCTGACTGCATGGGTGTTTCCCTGGAATATCTGTCCAGAGTTTTCCTCCCACCTCTAAAACTTGACATTTCTTGGTTGTTTCTCTCCTTCCTCATAGGTTTCTCCTTCCAAGAAAGCCCACTGAAAATAAGGTGAAAAACTATCATGGCCTATCCTGGCTGAATGCAAAAATGAATAAAGTCCGGTAATCCTTCACAGCCAAAGGGAAAGTATTTATTGTAACACGATGAAGTCACTTCCTGTTGAGGTTAAAATAAACAAACATCACTTCCTGAAGGACTCACCTTACAAAAGAACTTTTGTCGTAGCTCATACTTCCAAAATACCGTAACTCAATTTCTGTCACCCTTAATTTAACATGTAGTGATAACAAAATAGACGATAATAAAGATTCGCCATGGAAACCTGTACCTGGGCAAAACATGAAAGGCTTGCAAGTTTGTGGGAGGTTGCTGGCACATAATCTTTTGCTTGTCAAAGTAAGGAACACCAGTAGCCATTCCATACTGAATGAGAACATGACCGTCATGACAATTAACTTATATTTTGTTTATTCTATTTTTGGTCAAAAACTATTTTACATAATTTCAGAAAACTTTCAAGTGAAAGATACAAAGACTGTACCCCTTTTTCAACAACTGCTTGCCATTGAAATAAATTAATTCATTTTAATCTGTAAATCAGCATGGAACTCCATGTAAAGTTAACTACAGTTCCCTGCTCAAATGTCAAAGAAGCATTACAAAAACTGCAATTTGTTACTGCTTTTTGCCTGGTCATGAGCTTTAAAAGTTTTATTCAAATGCCAACATGTAGAGCATGCCTGTGAGTTGACCAACATCTGAAAGTCACAGCCTGACTGTATATCAACTTACCATTAATCTTGGATATGTTGTTTTCTCACAGGTACTTTTTTCTCCCAAGATGTATGCATTAAGGGGAGGCTTTTCCCCGCGCTCTATAAAATGTAGCCCCAACGATTTGGGCTGTTCAACAACTTCTAAGTGACTCATGACACGTCTTTTCTTCCAAACTTGTTGAGAAATGTTGCTTGTCTGTGACATTCTTTTGACTGGAGTGGCTGTAAATTGGAAATAGCAGAAGATCAAGATAGATTTGGATGATTAAACTGAATATACCACAAACACACAAACTATAAGAGAATCCTACACTACAGTCGTTCCTACATGCATGGACCTGTGTCAATACAGCAACAGTCACACAACTGTGCCAGACATGTTGTGTCCACAAACATCGCTGTTTTTAGAGGTTAAAATCTGTCATTGCAAAAGACAACATTCACTATGAGTTATTTCATGGCATTTACCGAGTTTTACTGACAGAAAGAATCATTGACTACTACCTTTCTCTTAATGTATGCAGGATCTCTGCATGAATGAGGGAAGAAATGTTGTTCCCTAGTGATGTTTCATTAGTTGGGCAATGTATCAACACACTGTATTATGGCCATGTGTTGAACGTGACCAGTGAACAAGGCCATCTGTTGAATGTGACCAGTGAACATGGCCATCTGTTGAACGTGACCAGTGACCACGGCCATCTGTTGAATGTGACCAGTGACCACGGCCATCTGTTGAATGTGACCAGTGACCACGGCCACGTGTTGAACGTGACCACTTTTCACTGCCAGTGCTGGTACCTCTCCTATGAGGTGCCCAGAAGGTCGAGTGCGTGTACTAGTAGTTTTTGGTAAGAAGCAAAGTACAAATATTATTTGGTGATTCTATAGAGTTAGTGTTTGCCGTGTATAGGTATGGCTGTAACCTACAAATTGTAAATACATGTACATGTATGTAAAAGCTGAAAGTGGTATCTGGCTTTTTCAAGTCAGCAATTTTGACCCAAATAAAACCAACTGTAAGTAGTTAATAGCATAACTTCTACCACGCATCAACATTCAGGGAAATCCTTGCATTCAAAGGGAACTACTGAATATTCAATTGTGCTTTCAACATGTGCTGGTCAATAAATGCATACAAGTGATGTGACCTTGTGTGTATCCTGACTGGTCATGTTAGATGACAACCAACATCTCTCATGAATAAAACCACAATGCAACCAAAGTATGATTTGAAATATTATAATTTGACAAGTAATGTTATTAAGAAGTAAAATTCAGGCCTGGAATTTCAGAAGTCATGATCTGCATTTTTTTCTGGTTATATCCCCAGTGTCTCCTAAAACTGTTCCCCAAATGTGGACAATTGAATTTTCACAAGGAATTTCAGAAAACATTCAAACATTTGAGGCTGAAATTCCAGACTTGGATAAGTGTGACCGAGAATAAAAGAGACAGGAAATATGAACATACATGGCCGTAGTTCAGAGTACATGTGGTGTTGCATTGGTGAAAACCGTGAAACTTCCACTGCGGCCATTGTAACAACGTTGCATGGACTGCAATTCAAATCCATAAGTTGGAAATGAAGTTACATGAAACCAGAAAATGAGTGAATGATACGGTGAATGTGAGTTTGTGAGCTAAGAAGTCTGGAGTTTCACTTCAAGTACTGGTATTCCAAGCTAGAGGAGTTTCAATGGTGGGATTCCTTCAAACTATAGAGTACAGAAGTGTGACGTCATTCTGAACCAGGATATGTAGTGCGAATGAATGGAGTGCACACTGTATGCGTGTTTGTTCACCTGCTGGTTCAAGCCCTAATGCCCTTTGCTCGCATACATGTAACTGTGCCCCTGACGTTCCACTTCAGTATTCTATAGCCACTACATGTACTTAATCAAATTATGAGAACACAGGTGTAGTCTGATGTCTAAGAACATTCACATGCACATGATGCAATGGCAGAAAAATACATGTGTGGTAATGAAAGCAGACAGCTACATGTACAAGTATTCACAATGCCTTACACGTTTTTAGGATACTTTTGGAGAGATTAAGTTTTTACCCATGTTCTTCAATAAATTGGTACGTGCAGCTTGGAGTGACACTGTGTATTTAATAGTGGTGTTCTCAGTAACTGTGCAACCTTAGTAATATTTTGTTATTCAAAACATGCATGAACAAATAAATTGAACAATAATCAATCTTGTTAATTAATATCAGAATACGTGACAAACTTTGTAAATCCTAAATGCCAGAATTAATTCATAATTTCATGCTTTACTTGGTTTATTAACCATCTACCAATGGCCAGTTTATTTATCTCCTTTATGCATACAAACCAATAATGATGCCATGCCAAAAGAATGGACGATGCACCTTCAAGTTCATAAATGATAATTATTTCTACAGGTGCATGTCTTTCAACCTAGATTACCAACTCAAACATGGACAGTACAGTTCATAAATACCATTTTAAGACTGGCAACTGTGATCCACTTCCTTGCCAGCAAGGTTACAATAATTCATGACATTATCAAGTAACAAGGATATTCAGATGCTTTCTTCAGTGACAAAATAAATGAGCTGCCAAGTGAAATTTACATGCCACAAAGCAGTTATTTATGTTGGATATGACATACTATGTCCCTCTACAACTTCCAGTGTAAACAACTTACATGTAAGTGGAACTGTTCCTGTTACCTCGGTTTCCTTACTCTACATGCACCGTACAAGTACAGTGTTGTTTTGAGGCACGATCGGTCACTCGGTACATTGCTGTGAGAATGGGAAGTTTAATCTGAGGTTTAATACAGGATTAACTGATCGCTGATTGTGCCCAGAACTGTTACTAATGAATAGCAAAGTGTTCTAAAATGGACGGGCACATGTCAAAGTTAAACTTTCAGACACCTTAGCTGAACGTTTTAAACGTCATACTTCAACTTGCAGATCTTACTGATAATGTACATTGTCAGTGAACTAAATAAACACCAATGTACATGTAGGCTGTGATGGTCTTTGTCAAATGTTGGCTATTCGTTTAAATGTGACATAAAAGTTTTGTGAGCCACTTATGAAATTGAATTATGAAATTATGCAAATTCCCTCTCTTGGAATAATTGAACTTTTCCAATATCATGGTTCGACTGTTCAATTGATATGCCAATCCAACTGTTGCAAAAATTCAATGTCTCATATCCAGGTATGCAACGAGCGTGTTACAGTACATGCGCAACAACCAACAGGGCCTCCCTTTTTAATTTTACAGTTCTGGTAATTTTTTTACCTGAAAAGAAGGTCAGTTCGTCGGAGGAAAAAGAAGGGAAGGGTAAAAATTAGCTTACTTTTTTGATGACAGAGTAAGAGTCAGTCAGACATACAAACCATAAAATCAACTATGGGTGTCTACATCTCCCCAATAAATGATGGCTTTACGTGCAGCATTTCAGAGTAATATTTTTAATCAATGAACTTTTATGTAAATGTGTGCAATTATAATTTATATTTTACAAGTGGTATTTTAGAATGTGTTTGATGTTTTTACATCTCCAAGTAGACGTCAGACATGTAACCTACATACACTGTGAACAATGTAAACATATTTATGAAACACTGAATTTTGCTACCTTTGAAAAGTAGAATCACAATGTTTGGAAAAGCGAACCATGAAACTTAAATTTATAATTTCGAAATTTTAAGGTGAAACATTTCAAAAGTTGAAATGGATGTACATTTGAAAGTTGAAGTACAACATTTGAAAAGTTGAACCACAACATTTGAAAAGATTAATTATGATAATTGAAAAGTTGAAGTTCAAAGTTTTAAAGTTGAATTACATTTGAAAAGTTGAAAGAGGTTTGAAAAATTGAAGTACGTTTTAAAAGTTAAAGTACAATGTTTGAAAAGTTGAACCACAGCTTTTTGAAAGATGAGGTAGGACGTATGAAAGTTGAACCATGGCATATGAACATGGCCAGATGATCAAAGTTGAATTACGATAGTTAAGCCTATATATAACGGTGGAAATCAAACATTTGACAGTTTTGATATTAACGAAAACCAGGAGGACATTTGAAAATTTGAACAATGACATTTGCCTGTCCGTTTTACTACACAATAGAATAGGTACTGGTTCTAAGCAGGCTCATGAATGACCATTCATCACAATCATAACAATTTCATCACAATAATCGTCAATTATGTCCACTTAAATGTACTGTAGGCCCTACCTTACCTAGCCTATAATGTACCTGCTGACTAGTCGTGCCAATGCGTGATGTTCGTATATCGTGAAGTACGCCTACCCTAAGTACGCACATACAAAGTGCATCCAACTTTCTCGTAGTGAAACTCTTGCACAAATTATTATTTTCAATGATCAATCATCACTGCAGTGGTTTTCTTTTTGAAACTACCCTATAACTTCCTTATCACTACAACTGTATGAGTGATTTCGCACAATGGCAATGGTAGAGAGGCACTGTGGGAAGGAAAAGGGGGCAAATTTTCCCCCTTTTCCTTCCCATGATGCCTCTCTACCACAGCAAGTCTGCAAAATCAACCACGCAATTAGCGATAAGACTTAGGCCTAAAGTTATGTGCGAATTAAAAGGTTTTCCTAAGAGAATTCGCAAAAAAGGTCAGCACGGCATAGACGGAAGTAGGCTACTTCCTGAACAGCACTTAAGGCTCTGTAGGCAGAATAGTGCTGTTCAGGAAGTAGAGCTAGCCTACACATGTACTGCAGGCTAGGAATGAACCGGTTTAAATTGTCCCTGATGGCAGTGTTGTAGTCGAGTAACCAATGTCGAGTCTGAGTCCGAGTCCTGAGTCTCTAGCCTTGGGTCAAAGTCTTGAGTTCGAGTTACGAGTCACAAGACATGAATCAACAACACAACCACTTCGCTCAGGCCCATGCAACTTCACACACCCAGCGCAGGCCACGCATTTTTACCTACAAGCGAGCCTGGCCATTTTGCTAAGTGTTCATATTCG